CCTCGAATAAAAATGAAAGGAAACCGAAAATATGCGACTCGAACTTTCGAATATGGATGAAAAATATACACCACGTCTATAATATGAATAAAATATTTAAATGAATTAAACATTGTACATCATATATTTGTTTATTTCTTTAAAAAAATGGTTACTGAAAAACCTCTCACTTTGTATATACAGACAAGTATGCAGTTATATGGCTCAACTTATGAAAAAATGTTAACACGTAAAAACCTCACAAGTGACAACTTTGAAGTTACAGATGTCTATACTATCATGAATAAGGAGATTTTTCTCTATTTATTTTTTATTTAATAAATGGATTCGAAAGTGATCACTTTGAAAAGTTACATTTAATAGCCTAATGAGACATTTTTAAGCTGTAAAAGTTTGTGTTGAAAGGATTAGAAATGATACATATCCCATTATTACTATACATAGTACCTGCAAGTATATATGTGTGTGTGTGTATTTGTAAGTTAATTTAAACCGTTAAAAGTTTTATTCAGACTTATACTGTTTCAAGAATTTTTAAATAAAAGTGTTTCTTACTGTATGTTATAGCTGACAAAAAAACAAGTTTTTATTGCATCATGAGACTAATATTAAGAGTTTATGTTATACCCTTGATAAAGCCATTTTCACCTCAAATAATGAAATATCATTTAGCATAGATATTTTACATTGTTTTAATAGTTTCGCCGATTTAATGAAAATGAATACTAATTCTCTAGGTTTTATTGTTTTTACATTTTTTATTTATTTGGCTAAGCTTTTTTCTGAATTTTCAAAAATTTATTGACCATTGATCTCCCCTCTTGCTCGGCGATAAACGTGATGGCTTTTAACGCTAAATTCGGGGCTCGATCCTTACAATGAACACGAAGCAGATATCCCATATTGTAGTTTTCGCTTTACGACAATCAATGAAAACAGTACACTTAGAAAAAACAACATTGTTAATGCTTTATTTCTCTTCCACTGGAATACTATAAATAGAAGCTTCATAAAATGATATACAAGTTGCTTCCTCTACTCGTACATCTCTCCACTTACTCATTGTAGGATAATTTGTACCCTGGCAGCCTTAGCTTTCTATTTCTGTTTGTCAAAAACTTTTGCTTCCATTTTTTGTTGAACACCTGATAACACCTTTACTTCCATTCTCTAAGACGGTCCTCCCAGTGAATAACATCTTTACTTCCATTCTCTAAAACGGTCCTCCCAGTGAATAACACCTTTACTTCCATTCTCTAAGACGGTCCTCCCAGTGAATAACATCTTTACTTCCATTCTCTAAAACGGTCCTCCCAGTGAATAACACCTTTACTTCCATTCTCTAAGACGGTCCTCCCAGTGAATAACATCTTTAATTCTATTCTTGGGTTTTTAAAGATAAACTTTAAACTTTTAAAATTTATTCCCATTTTGTCTTTGCATTATGATAGTGTTTGCTACAATATCTGCAGTTCATAAATTACTAGTTTAGAATAATCTTAGTTCATATTTTCTCTCCTGCAAAACAAACTTGTTTCATAACTTCATTTTATATTTCTCATTGTAGGATAACATTGCACATTTAGAAATGCTGGAAGGGTTAATGGTTGATCTATTGAACGCCAAATGGAACGGTTTTGTTAAATTTCGGTAGGTTTTGAACTCATTATGGGTTACAAGTTTTGCATATTTCACCTTTTTCATCTGCATTCCAAAGCACATTTCTTTGATGATTTTAAACCTGTTTTATCACGCTATTTCTAGTGTATATGTTGATGTGACAGTCTTTTGCTTCCTTTCTATATAAGTATAAGTTTATAAATCTCTGCAACAGCTAATAAAACATAATTCTATACATTAAATGAAAAATTCTTACAGTATGTATGATTTATATGAATTGATGTATGTATTTGTGAGCTTCCTCTTCAGAATTAGGAAATAAATAAAAAACTCTTCAGTGATTACACAGTTTTCAAAGCTGGAAATTAAATCGAAACTAATCCTTTCTTTTGTTCATTGTTATTCTCACAGTAGTAGAAGCATAAAAATTAGTAAATATGTATTTATACGTTCTAAATAGTGAAAATTTTTGTTAAATATAACTCTGATCTATGGATGTTTAAGGTTTTTTATTTAAAAAATATCATACTTCATTGCATATGTGAGAAGCCATATGCAGTTCGTTTAAATATTATCTTTACGAGTACTTGGTTCCAATCAAATAAGTAAACTGCTTATACTTCTATTTTTGTGAAATGAATTGTGGTATTAAAAGAAAAATAGTATGATGTAATCTGTTTTATAGACTAACTTTTTAAAATATCATCAGTAAACTTAGAATCGTTTGATTTTTAAGAACAAAAAAAATACAAAAATATATATTTATTTTAATGTCATACATTCCGCAACAAAAATTAAAAAAAAATTGTCGTGCATCTTCTCAAACAATGAAATCCTATAAAACAGATTAAAAATATCTCAATTCTAAATAATATTCTTATCATTTTGTATCTTATCGTTTCGGAATTGTCATTTTAACATGTCTTCAAGAAATTATCTTATCTAACGTCAGGAAAACTTGCCGAGTACATTTTTTACTTTATTTTTACTATTTGACAATGAAATACCAGCCTTAAAATACTAACTAAATAGATAAATTAAGAAAATACTAACTAAATAGTCCAATATTAAAAAACTAATTAAATAGTTCAATATTAAAAACTAATTAAATAGGTCAATATTTAAAAACTAATTAAATAGTTCAATATTTTAAAACTAATTAAATAGGTCAATATTTAAAAACTAGCTAAATAGGTCAACATAAAAAACAAACTAAATAGTTCAGTATTTAAAAACAAACTAAATAGTTCAATATTTAAAACTAAATAAATAGGTCAATATTTAAAAACTAACTAAATAGTTCAATATTTAAAACTAACTAAATAGGTCAAAATAAAAACTAACTAAATAGTTTAATAATTAAAAACTAGCTAAATAGTTCAATAATTAAAAACTAGCTAAATAGTTCAATATTTTAAAACTAAGTAGTTCAGTATTTAAAAAAGTAATTAAATAGTTCAATATTTAAAAAGTAACTAAATAGTTCAATACTTAAAAAAGTAACTCAATAGTTCAATATTTAAAAACTAGCTAAGTAGGTCAATATTTAAAACTAACTAAATAGGTTAATATTTAAAAACTAACTAAATAGTTCAATATTTTAAAGACCAAATAGTTCAATATTTTAAAGACTAAATAGTTCAATATTTTAAAAACTAAATAGTTCAATATTTAAAAAAGTAACTAAGTAGTTCAATATTTAAAAACTAACTAAATAGTTCAATATTTTAAAGACTAAATAGTTCAATATTTTAAAAACTAAATAGTTCAATATTTAAAAAAGTAACTAAATAGTTCAATATTTAAAAAAGAAACTAACTAAATAGTACAGTATTTAAAAACAAACTAAATAGATCTCTATTGACCTATGATCTATAATATTGATAATGCTGGTCGCCATGCCTCATGTTTTCATTTTACTCAGCGGTAAGCTTGAGGGCTTGTAACACTCAAATTCTGGATCCATTCCCTGCTATGGGCATGTCACTGTAACAAAATTATAAAGATATGCGTCATGTACAGTTAAAAAAGATCCAAATTATTATATTACTATAGCTTCCAATATTTCTGCAAAGACAAATATCTTGACATTTCCATCCACTGTCAATTGAAAACACATAGTACGAAGACCAGTATATTGAAATCAGACAGAAACAGTACAGTGAAAAGAATAAAAAAAAAACGACTAACAGTTATAATTGCTAAGCCATATGTAGTTAAGTAGTATTTTCAATTCAGTAATTAAGCCTTATGACCTTAGTTACATGTATTCACAATCATTTTATCATATTCCTTATGTTCCAGACTCTAGAGGGCTTATTGATATTGTTTTACTGTTATTCTCTAATCTTGACATTGCTAAAAAAGAAATATAGAATTGATCAAGTATTATTTTCTGTTAAGTTAATTGAAAATTCCAGAGATATTTGTACAACTTTCTCTATTAAAATGGTATTTTTTAATTATAAATGCGATGTTCGTTTGTTTTTAACTATAAACAGATTTTACCGGCAGTTTGCCACCTTTTTGGTCTACTTTACAATCTCCATCGTGAGTTTCGTTCTTCGACCAGGACCACTCGTCGTAAGTCAGAGAAGCCTTACACTTAACAGAACTCTACAGAGTGACAGCCATTCTTTCATCAAAGACAACACTACAATTACAGGACCGGATTATTGTTATCTATTAAATGCTGACACTGCTGTGGAAGTTGTAAGTAATTCTTAGCTCTTCGATAACAATGCATTACCGTTACTGACTTAGTCACTGTAATGAATTATTATCAAACACTGTGTAACATTATTGATAAAGAAATTGAAAATTGACGTAAATATTTCAAGTAAAACTGAACACTTAGAACGGATTATTCTGAATTAGATGGTAAAGATATTGAGGCGTTAGGCTAAATTTTAAATAAATTAAAATTATCAACCGTAGATAAGAATGTAATTGTATACAGTATGCGATTTGTATAATGTAATATTTTTAAAACTTTATTATAGATTTTATTGCGGATAACTGGGGGCTGATGATCAAAAGTTTAAGGCGGAATTTGGAAATTGTAAACATTATTATAAACAACAAAGGAAAGGACCTGAAGACGTAAAACGGAATGATTAACCTCAGCTAATTTTGTAAATTAGTTGTCTAAGATTTTCTTTACAACTGTCACTCTGAACTAGACAATTGCTGTCCATTTCACCTGTGTTTGTTCATCATGAATACTCTGCCTAAATCACCTAAAAGAGAATATGTAACAAATATTGTTTTTAATTCCAAGTTTTATCACGATTGTTTAACATACTTCATCACGCTTGTTTAATATAGTGCATCATATTTGTTTAACATAGTTTATCAACCTTGTTTAATATAGTTTATCATGTTTGTTTAACATAATTTATCACGCTTGTTTAATATACTTTATCATGTTTGTTTAATAGAGGTTATCACTTTTGTTTAATATAGTACATCACATTTGAACATAGTTTATCACGCTTGTTTACTATAGTTTATCACGCTTGTTTAATATAGTTTATCATGTTTGTTTAATATCGTGTGTCACGTTTGTTTAACATAGTGTGTCACATTTGTTTAACATACTTCATCACGCTTGTTTAATATAGTTTATCATGTTTGTTTAATATAGTGTGTCACATTTGTTTAACATACTTCATTACGCTTGTTTAATATAGTGTATCACGTGTGTTTAATATAGTTTATCTCACTTGTTTAACATAGTGTATCACGTTTGTTTAACATAGTTTATCACAATTGTTTCATATAATTTATCTCACTTGTTTAACATAATTTATCACATTTGTTTAATATAATATATCACATTTGTTTAAAATACTTCATCCTGCCTGTTTAATATAGTGTATCACGTTTGTTTTATATAGTATATCACATTTGTTTGACGTACTTCATCACGCTTGTTTAATATAGTGTATCATGTTTGTTTAATATAGTTTATCATGTTTGTTTAATATAGTGTATTACATTTGTTTAATATACTTCATCACGCTTGTTTAATATAGTTTATCATGTTTGTTTTATATAGTATATCACATTTGTTTGACGTACTTCATCACGCTTGTTTAATATAGTGTATCATGTTTGTTTAATATAGTTTATCATGTTTGTTTAATATAGTTTATCATGTTTGTTTAATATAGTTTATCATGTTTGTTTAATATAGTGTATTACATTTGTTTAACATACTTCATCACGCTTGTTTAATATAGTTTATCACGCTCGTTTAATATAGTGCATCACATTCGAACATAGTTTATCACGCTTGGTTAATATAGTTTATCATGTTTGTTTAATACAGTTTATCACGCTTGTTTAATATAGTTTATCACGTTTGTTTAATACAGTTTATCATGTTTGTTTAATATAGGTTATAACGCTTGTTTAATATAGGTTATCACGCTCGTTTAATATAGGTTATCACGCTTGCTTGATATAGTGTATCATGTTTGTTTAATATAGTTTATCATGTTTGTTTAATATAGTGTATTACATTTGTTTAACATACTTCAGCACGCTTGTTTAATATAGTTTATCACGCTCGTTTAATATAGTGCATCACATTCGAACATAGTTTATCACGCTTGCTTAATATAGTTTATCATGTTTGTTTAATATAGTTAATCAGGTTTGTTTAATATAGTTTATCATGTTTATTTAATATAGTTTATCATGTTTGTTTAATATAGGTTATCACGCTTGTTCAATATAGTTTATTACATTTGTTTAATATAGTTTATCACGTTTGTTTAATATAGTTTATCACGTTTGTTTAATATAGTGTATCACATTTGTTTAACATTTTTATCACGTTTGTTTAATATAGTGTATCACGTTTGTTTAATACAGTATATCACATTTGTTTAACATTTTTATCACGTTTGTTTAATATAGTGTATCATGTTTGTTTAATATAGTGTATCACATTTGTTTAACATTTTTTATCACGTTTGTTTAATATAGTGTATCACATTTGTTTAACATTTTTTATCACGTTTGTTTAATACAGTGTATCACGTTTGTTTAATATAGTGTATCACATTTGTTTAACATTTTTTATCACGTTTGTTTAATATAGTTTATCACGCTTATTTAATATAGCTTATCATGTTTGTTTAACACATTTTATCACATTTGTTTAACATACTTCATCACGTTTGTTTAATATAGTGTATCACGTTTGTTTAATACAGTATATCACATTTGTTGAACATAGTTTATCACGCTTGTTTAATATAGTTTATCACGTTTGTTTAGTAAAGCGTATCACATTTGTTTAACATAGTTTATCAAATTTGTTTAATATAGTTTATCATGCTAGGTTAATATTGTTTATCATCTTTGTTAATATAGTTTACCACGTTTGTTTAAATGATTTAATATAATAGGAACAGTTAAGAAAATTACAAATTATTTCAGGAAATGCAAATAAATGTTCATAGTCTCGCCATAATAATATTTGAAAATCTATTCCAAAAATAACTATTCAGTTTAATTAATATTGAAGAGAAGAAACAGAAAAACAAGACCATATACAATGCTCCTCAGAAAATCTGTCTTCTGTTATATTGTTTCAGTTAAAATTGGATTCAATGTAATATTTTAGGATGTGACTCGTTAATTCAGCAAAATTACTTTTACATTGATTTTATGCAATGAAATGACTAGTAATATTTGGAAACGAAATACAGCTCAAAGAATAATACTTCAATGTTCCTTGAAAGAAATGTGTCTTATTAGAACTAAGTTCATTCACTGAAGTGATTTTTATCAAGGTAAATGTGTTTATAAAATAATATAGCTACATTCGGGAAAAACTCATAAAAAGAAGGTTTTTGTTTTAAGTAATCTATTGTCATTATCATAAACAGCTCTTATGCGATGGCATCTGTTGTGACAGAAAAATATCAATATATTTCCTTAAACATAACATGAAATAAGTCATGTGTTTTAGACAAATATTAATCCTTAAGTCAAAAAAGGATTATATGAAACGTTTATGGAGATTAGATTTATTTATTTAGTGGATTATCTCTTGCACGTATTATGTAACGTAGTTTTAAACTAGAAGGATCTCGAAAAGATGCACACATTTTTATTGTTCACTTGTCAACAGATCTTGTTGTTCAAAATCTTGTTTAATGAAAAAGATATTTTACTGATGCAACTCGTATCAGTGAGATTTTATTTAAACCATAGTGTCTGTACACATTTCTCTAATTCATATGTACAAATTAAATGAGTGTTATAATTTCTAGCTTCGTTTAGTCCTAGAAGGGTTAACGGCAGGTGGTGCATTTTTATATCTTATCAACTCCGGAGTCGAGGCTCGTTTCCTTGGTTATCAAACCTTCGTGCAAAACATGGTTGGTGTTTTTATTCGACTTTCCTTAAAATCGTATTAATAATCTGTATACATATATAATAACTTACTATTATTAAACGTAAAATAGATTTTATTGCATTATTTCTTGTTGTAATTTAATGCTTGTGTGCACAAACAGTCCAGTTCCATAACGAGTAAATTCAAATGCCATTTTTTATAGATTTGCACAATTGATTTTGAGTTTATAATATAGGGCCAATTGTGTGACTTTCTGTGAATATCGGAAACAAATATAAAATGAAGATGGAATCTCTGCAACTAATAATAAATATTTGAAAAGAGATATACTTATTATCAACTACTTCTTATTTTTATATAGTGTCTCCCGGTATATCAGCTTTAAGTTTACGGATTTAACAATGCTTAAGTCCCGTGACAGAGCAATAATTCGATTGAAAACAACGAATAAAGAACTCATTAACCATCTGACGCCTATAAGTAATATGTACATGAAAGTTTCCTACAAAAGAGGCTAGAGTAATGTGTAATGACTATGGGAAAATTCGGTAGACTTGAATCAGTTTAATCTC